TACTATGGTGCATATGGGAAATGCATTTCCTTTCAAAAAATATTAAGAACTGCGAGGGTACCTGCGTGCGCAGTGCCGCAAACAAATTAAAATACCGCGGCCGGTGATGAATGCACGCCACGTGTACTGCACAGATATTAGGAAATAAACAAACCACTAGGAATTTGTTTTGCCATACGGAAAACTCTCTGACGACTGTGATCCAACATACCTTGCCTAAAGAATCATTGTGTAGAAGAAGATATTCTTTGTATGAGTTGAAGAAAATACAAAAGTGAAAACCGTCTTGTAATTTTGCAGAAGTTAGCAAAAACGTGTCGTCTGACAGTTTGGCTACCATATGTGAAATTTCGAAAATCCATTATTGCCGATCGGGCGAATGCCGCGCAAAACTCCCTGTGAAAATATGCAAGTATTGCCGGCAATACTACTTGTTTACCCCGAGTACTGGTAATTAAGTCGCAAAATTTCAATTCGATATTTCACATTACGTGCACCGTACAGGTCAGAATTTTAGCCGACACGCTAACACCATAGAGCTACAACACGATCAATGAACCTGACACGCTGTCCAATACAGGCTTTGCGGTTTTTACCGTGCATTGCTGGTCGACCAGTCCAACGCACGATAAGCCTGACCCAGACCCCATTATCTCGGAAGGGCCTGTGACCGCAAACCCCAGAGGGGACCGACAACGTGTAGTGAACCACTCACTGCACACGCAGGGCCGTCGCTCCAGCTTAAGCTTCATGTACCGGTACGGTATGCGTGTACTGTAAATGTACACTAGTGCGCTGAATAAATGAAATCACGTACATGTACATGCACATGTGCATGAGTGCCAGACTGGCAAAATTACCGTCTTGAAGTGTCGAAATATGTATCATTATCACAGCCGTTTCTTTTTGTTTTAGATTGCAGCAGTTGTTCAGTTGGATAACATCTGGAAAACTTTCAAATTTCAGTGAAACTGGCCAGTAGTCTGCAGTGTGTGTTTAGCTACTACAAAACTTGTTACCAATCTAATGCTATGTCGCTTTTAAGCTATTCCCGTGCGGGAACTTTTTACAGCATGGAAAAAGTAACTGCGAAAGAAATCCATTCCTCAGCCAGAACTATTATAACAAGCTGATTTTACAATGAAGTATTTCGTATTTTATGGAAACTTGGTTCTTGTATCAGAATTCCAGTAAATAAAAGAACACACTAAACTTGCGTAAATTTTAAACTTGACTTTTTCATTTCCTGCCAATGTGCCGCG